TGGCCCGGCGATATGATGTCCTTCACACCCAATGAGTGGGAGATCTACTTTGAAACTTGAGCCAGTATTTAATACTTTTGTTAAGGGGACTCTTTACCCAATGAAAACCGAAAAAAAAAACAAACAAAAATACCGAATCTTGAGAAGTACTATTTGCGGGCGCGACAAGGACCAATATTGACCATTTTTGCTAGGAAGATTTGGTACACAATTGCATATGGGTCTATACCAATACTGGGATCGAATACGTATTTTCAATACCAAACAAACTAGGATAGAATGGTGTATGTAAAATTTAAAGCTCTATCTAAAATATTGCCTGCTCCATCGTGATGTCAACAGATAGACAGACAAGGGCCTCCGGTGAATATTTCGAAGTGTAGCAAACGGAATGAAAATATTAATGTACCCTTTACCTTATCGTGATGGATTCACTGTAGATATATATTAAAAGAATTTACAGACATTAACTATTTGCATTTGCATTTAATGGAGCAAAAACGTTGGTAGATAATCGATTTATAGCATATTCGAAGACGTTTCAGGTCTAACTGTCTATGCAAAAATTCATATTATGATTGGTTCAGCAAGAAGAGCATTCATGTTGATACCAGACGAAAGTATGATGCCTTATTTAAATTTTGGTAAAATATTACTTTTCACATGTTAGCCCTTTTGTGGGGGAGGTACCTGAACGAGCGGACCGTTAGTCCCCATCTTCAATCATGATATAGTTTTTGTAATAACATACGGTTGTCCTAAGTTTGGATCAAAACGGATAACCGCTTTGCAGGATATCGTTAATTTATTTTTCAACAAAATGTTGACCTTTTAGGGAGGAGGCACCGGAAGAAGTGGTCCGATATCCTTTATCTTCGAACAAGATTTAGGTTCGGAAGAAATATTACGATGGGCAAAGTTTGGGTTAAATCTGTAACTCCTTTCGAGAGTTATGGTGCGCACTATCCAACCAGACCGACATTTCAGTCTTAATACGGGGGGTATAAAAATAGATTTTATATGTAAAATGTGGTGTCAATGAGTTCTCTAATAATGAATGCTTTAGATAAATTAATTTGGAACAGCTTTCTTTACAAAAACTTTAATTTTCATACATGAGACAAATTGGCTCACTTCCGTAAAAGTAGGTATATACCAAACAGCCGTAAATCTAGTGTTAATCAATCCAGATATACAAGTGTCATTCCGCTGTCTATCTGAATATTCCTATCAATTTGGCATCATTTCGGTCTTTGCTGTACGATTTACATAAAATCGAACAAAGTTATTGACCATAATAGGACTATCGATGGTACATAAATTGGGAGATATATCTAAATCTAAACCGATTTAAATTCAAAATGCTTCATTTTAGGCTCAATTAGCTACGCTGTGAAAAATTCCATAGGTATTTAATACATCATTTAGATAAAAACAGTCGAATATATACGATAGCTATATATTAAAATTTTAACAGATTTCATCTTAACACACATCATTGTAGAAACAATACGGTACGCTTTACCAAATTTTGTCTCAATCGGATATACCTTGGGAGATTGGTGTAGCATTTACATAAAATCGAACGAAGTTATATGTGAGAGCTTTATCCAAATCTGAACCGATTTCAACAAAACAACACACATTATTCTACGTCGGAATTTTGTCTCAATCTGACAAACCTTGGGTATTTGTTGTGCCATTTACATAAAATCGGAAGAAAATATATATGGATGCTATATCTATATTTTATGCGATTTCAATGAAACTTAACACGTATTATTCTAGACTCAATTCAAAATATTTTGCAAAATATTGTCTCAATGTGACAAACGTGGGGTTTTGGTGTACCATTTACATAAAATCGGACGAAAATATATAGGGGAGCTGCAGTCGAGTACGGTTATAGGGAACTAGTGGGGACCAAGCAAATTTATTCGTTATAGAAAAAGTTCTTTATATCCAACGTAAGGCAAAACAAAGACATAATACCCTTTAAATGGTATTATGACTTACATCGATACACGTTTAGACATAGCCCCCATATAATTATTCCTCCTGATTTTTGGTACTTTGTTTAGTGTCTTTCCAAATATTCCAATCAGATATAATCAATATTGTACCATCTTTAGGAATAGGAATAGACCAAGGTGTATTTAATAAGGTGTATGCATCAGATAAAACAACAAATATTTTACAAAAACAACATTGTTGTTATAGAAATTAAATTGTCATGCTGAAATCAGTTTTTGACAAAAATAAACACAAACAATTATAAATTTATTTTTGTCAAGAACTATTCTTTGAGGAATAATTAATGAATTTGTGTATTCTTGGGTTATTGGCTGTTTTAGGTCAGTTAAAAATAAAGTTTAAGACCTGGTCGCGATTATTTTAAGTTTCCCACAATTAGCCCATGGCTGCTTGTGATGTTTATATTGTGGATTGCAATCTAGTTTTTATATAGAGTGGCTTCAAATCTTGCCTTCTTAGAGAAAATTGAAAGACATACAACCCCGGCCAAAGACTAAATCATGGAAATTGTGTTGACCGTATATAATCTTTCTATAGGCGTATTTAACCTCCCCCGAGAATTGCGACAAGCACCGATTCCAATATAGGCTAACATAATCTTCTCGATTTTATGAGTAGCTGGGAATTCTGGACAGATTTCCACAAATAACATAAAATATGTGGACCAATCGGCGAACGGGGTCTGAGTTTCCCTTCCGTCCATTGAATTTTTATTATTGAAAAAGCCAACGTTTAAAGATCATTTTTGAAATCGAACTGTAGTATTGAAAATGTTTTTTACAATTTACTTTACAAACAATAAAGAAAAAAGTTTGAAACCATATGATTGTCACTTACACCTTATTAAATACACCTTGGAATAGATCATACCTGTGCTCTCCAAATTGAGATGTTTAAATGAAAATATTAATACGATTTCAAGAGATATCGCGGATTTTATAATTTAGTCAGCGTTATACTGCATATAGGGTATATAACATTGGTCGTCTGCAATATGTTTTTGCCACCACTTAAAAATAAACCAGGCACAAAAATCCATATTGTGAACAATTTTATTTTTCTATCCGACATGTTTGTCATTTTGCATTTTCAAAAGTGGAAATGGTATGAGAAGTTAATGATTCTCTCTGCCTTATATGCGGTTAATTAAATTCCGTTTAAAATGAATAATAAATTGTTATGACATAATTTATTATTCATAAAAATCAAACATTTTAAATGAGATACACAATCAAATGTTATTTAGTGGTATTTTCTGATAAGAGAGCTTTTTCAAAACTGTCTGCATTATTGAATGCAAAAAACAATAAAAAAGTGAGCGAACTCTTATAGTCGGACGAGGCCGACCATGTTATACCCTACACAACTTCCACGAACATCTAACTTTCTGTGGTTCCATGTTCTGAGTTTGGGTAATATTTCGCGATATTTGCACCCTCTTGACCGACTAGAGGTCAAAAAATATTACTAAAAATTTTTTACAGCCCTTCTAATTACTTGTCCAGATTTCCTTCACCGTGGGCTGTGTTGTGATGTTCGGCTTTAACTTGTGGCCTATAGATCTACTCGAAAAAAACAAAATATTAAGTTTTCGGTCCACTTCGGTTTCAATATTACTATTTGATTATCTTCGAAAATTATAGACGTTCTCTTTGACCGTTACTGGGACCTCACGGAACAATTCAAAGCGATCAGCGCTATATTTCCGACCTCTAGTGTGGTAATGGGTTACTAAATAATATATGAATACTGTAAATATTTAAGTGTAACTTCCACATCCGAGTACATACGACAATATAATTGGTATTAATTTAAAGGTCAACCACTCCTCTTGGATAAACCACTTCTCGGGTCTATGTCCTGCAGGAGACATAATTTGGGACAAACTTGTCAATATTTAGCGGGTCCATTTGACCCGTCTGACACATCCCCATCGCGATGTTAAGGTCATAATCGCGGCCTCTAGAGCGACCAGAAAAACCGACAAGAAAAAAAAAGCTTTTTGTCCATTTTATCCCCTAAATATTAACCGACCTTTACCGAAAATAGGTGTCTTCATTGGCCAGAACTCATCCAACATGTAAAATTTCGTGTTGATTGGTCCATAACTATGACATGTATCGTGTTTACAAATTATAATGGACAGACAAACGGACACACTCAGCTACTCGACATATACCTAGGATCAAATAAACTCTTGGGGCTGCACAAAGCTATAATGCCCTGACAACATAGTTGTGCAGGGTTTAAAATGGGTTTTAAAAATTTTTAACTACAAAAGGCAATAAAAGAAAACCAGAAGGTACGGTCAAAAGTCGGATGGGCCGGCGATATGATACCCTTCACACTCAGTGAGTGGGAGGTACAGGGGGCCTACCCCGAAACTTGAGCCAGTATTTAATACTTTTGTTATTGGGACTTTTTACCCAAAGAAAACCGAAAAAACCCTATTTGCGGACGCGACAAGGACATTTTTGCTAGGAAGATTTGGTAAACAATTGCATATGGGTCTATACCAATACTGGGACGGAGGACGTATTTTAAATACCAAACAAACTAGGATAGAATGGTCTATGTAAAATTAAAAGCTCTATCTAAAATATTGCCTACTATATCGTGATATCAACAGATAACCAGACAAGGGCATCCGGTGAATATTTCGATGTGTAGCAAACGGAATGAAAATATTAATGTACCCTTTACCTTATCGTGATAGATTCACTGTAGATATATATTCAAAGTATTTACAGACATTAACTGTTCACTTTGCCTAAGCATTCATTTGTATAGCCCCGTCCATCATTTTTTAGAAACTATTTAAAAATAGTCACAATCGGACATTAATATGACAGCTGTCACAATAAATATTTGACAGAAAACGCAAACTTTTTCCCATATTCAAATGGTATAAATTTCGAATAATTTTCAAAACTTATTGCAGTTGAAAAAATTAGAGATAAGTTACAATGTTACGGTCATCTGAATCTGTGGCAAATCGACGACAGCTATGGAGAAAATTCACTGGATTATTGTTTTTCATTGCGGTTGCAGAAGCTTTGCGATGTCGCAGCGATGATGGTCCTTCGGAGGCTGAATTGAAAAGAGTTGGCCGAAATTGTATGAGAAAATTTGGTGAAAATGTTTTCAATATGCAAAATAATCAGCAGCAGCAGCAACAACAACAGCAGCAACAGCAATCACAAGGACATTACAGCCAACAAAGGTCTAATCGTAATGGTTACAATATTTATCCCGATTACGATAATGATGATGGCAGTGATGAAAGCCATGGAGGTAATAGTAATGAAAATAGTGGTGGCGGTAATCAATTTTCTCAAAGAAATTATCAACAAAATAATCAGAATAATAACAACAACAATGGCAGAGGGGGAGGTGGAGGTGGAGGTACTGGCAGAAATCAGAATAATGACAATAATGGCCGATCTGGCAATTCAGGTGGAGGAGGCGGTAATACGAACTATGGCAACAATGAGAATGAAGATCGTTGTGGAAATCAAAATAATCGCCAGCGTTCGGGATCAAATGGCAATAGATCAAATGGAAATTCCGGTGGTGGCGGGAGCAACAATCAAAGGAACCAAGGAGGTTCCGCACAGAATGGTCGATATGGCAATAATAATCAAAATAACAATAATAGGAGCAACAACAATAATCAAAATAATAACAATAACAACAACAGAAATCGAAACAATAACTCCAATTATAATAACAACAACAACAACAGAAATAGCAACAATAATAATAACAACAACAATTCTTCTTCATCGGATAGTAATTGCATCGTCCATTGCTTTTTCGATGAAATGAATATGGTATGTAAGGGCCCAATTTTGTCGTCGATGTGAAAATTGCAAATAAGTTTTCTTAATTTTACTTATAGTTAAACAAAAACAGCTATCCCGATCGTCATAAGGTCCTCTATGGTCTCACCAAGGATATGCGTGATCGCGAATTACGCAACTTCTACACGGACACCATACAGGAATGTTTTCGTTATTTGGAGTCGCAAAGACGCCGCGAGAAGTGTCAATTTTCACGTGACCTCATCTCCTGCATGACCGAATATGCCAAAGGCAATTGTGAGGATTGGAATGAATTTAGTATGATGTTCAATTAGATATGTAAGAAAATGTGAAGTAGCTAAATAAAATGCATCACCACCATGAAATGGACATTTAAAATGCCAAAAAATCTGACGAAATTCTTGTAGATATTCGCTAAAATCATTGTAAATTGGCAAAATACAAAATCCCGTTTTTTTTTTATCTGAGAAAACTGAGAAAACGAAATTCTAAATTAAAGAAAATTCGGCTAGAAATTTCAAAATCTCTAGAACCATTAAAATACTTATAAAGTCGCTACGCAACATAAACCAGAACTTTGGTACATTATTTACATTAAATCGGAAGAAACTCTATATGGGAGCTATATCTAAATTTGGACCGATTTTCTCAAAACTTGGCAGACATCACTCTAGGCTCAATTCAGTACGTTATGCTAAATTTCGTGCAAAAAAAATATATGTGGACTTTGGTGCACCATTTACATTAAATTGGACGAAAATATATATGGGAGCTATATCAAAATCTGGACCGATTTTCACGAAACATGGCAGACATCAGACTAGGCTCATTTCAGTACGTTATGCCGAATTTCATGTAAATCGAAAGACATATCGGAACTTTGGTGCACCATTTACCTTAAATCGGACGAAAATATATGTGGGAGCTATATCTATATCTGAACCGATTTTTCCCAATTTAGGGTTCGTCCTTGGGCCAAACAAAATAGCTGTGCCAAATTTCATCCAAATCGGATTAAAAATGCGACCTGTACTTTGTTTACAATTTAACACCAACAGATGGACAGACGGACGGACATGCATAAATCAACTCAGAAAGTGATTCTATGCATATTCTCAAAAGGAACTATGGGTCTATCTCGTTTCCTTTTGCCTATTACAAACATATGCACAAAGACATAATACCATGTACCACACTGTGTTGAAGGGTATAAAAATACCCGCAAAGAAGTTTTTTCACCATGAACGTCTTAAAACAGCAAGTGCATTTGGAAAATGAGTCGATATAAAAAAATTATTCGATGATCTAGAGACATGAACTTCTGTTAAGAATTTTCGGCGGATAGGTTTTTTTATTTCTCCGAAAACTCCAGGTTAAAACTTATATTAGAAAACAGCCAATTTTCACATCTTCACATGACCAGTTTTACCGAATAAACCGCAACTACTCGGATTTGATTCAAAGTGCACTTGGCTCGTGCTCGAAGACCCTTACTTACTTGGTTACATAACTGGCTTGAGACAGAACATTTGTTCAGTCTGACTATGTCGATGTCCGTGTATATAGCTCCTCTCTCATCCGATGTTCATTCAATGTTCACCTTCGACGCATATCGGCCCGTAGATCTCTCGCAAAAATTTTCTCTCAAAAACTCCAAAACTGTTTCCACTGCTTGCGTAAGTACTCATGCTTAAGATCCATACAACAGCACAGGTAGTATCAGCGCTTGTGTGAGTTTGGTCTGGCGAGAGGTGGCCTTGTTTCTAAATTCCTTACTTAGACCATAGTAACATCTGTTGGTCAACACTATCCTTCACCCAATTTCAAGACCGATGTCATTAGTTTTATTTATGGCGGTACCAAGGTATATAACATCTTTGACTACCCCGAAGCTGTAGTTCTCAAGTTCCACCGTTGGTCCGAGTCTACTGGGCGTCTCGGGCGTTGATACCATCAGCTTGGTCTTCTCCCGTTTACTGGCAGACTCCTTCTCAAATTTTTCAAAGGTGACTGTTACCGCTCTCAATGCTCGAACCTTTATGTCCACGTCATCGGCGTAGACGTGTAACATGCGTTGTTTGATGTACAGAGTGACATTTCTGTTCACCTTTGCCTCTCGATAGACTTTTTTTCTGTAGGATGTTAAAAAGCTCACACGATAGTCCGCCAGCTTGTCTGAATCCGAGTTCGGTATTGAAGGGCTTCAAGAGGTCCATTCCGAATTTTACTGCTGTTTTTATGTCAGTTTTTATGTCAGTTAATTAATAAATATATTAATTTTACTGGAATACCGAGCCCAGACATGGCTTTAAACACATCAGATCAGAGTGGGCTGTGGAAAGCGGCTCTATAGTCGACAAATAAATGGAATGTGTCGATGTTTTTTTTTTTTTTTTTGACTTTCCAGAATTTGGCACAGTGTAAAAATCTGCTCTATGATGGATTTGTCAGGTCTGAATCCGCATTTATATGGTCCAATAATAGCATTGACAATTTGTTTTAGTCGTTCACACAGCCCGCTGGATAGCACTTTATATGTGATGGGACGGAGAGTTATTCCTCTATAGTTGGCAAGTATCGTCTTGTCTCCTTATTTGTGCACGGGACACACATAGTTCGGCCGGTAATCCATCGGCACCTGCTGCTTTCTTGTTCTTTAGCCGATTAATTGCTACTCTGACCTCATATTAGCTAGGAGGCATGCACTCCATACCACCATTTGATAGCAGAACATTTGCAAAATGCTCCTTCCAGATCCTCAACACGCTGTCTGTATCTGTCACCAGGTTTCGATCTTCATCTCTGCGGGGGGATGTGCCTACACAAAAGCCTTCGGTTTGGTGTTTTACTCATTGGTAAAATTTCCGGACTTCATTCTGACTCTTGTACATCTCGATTTGCTCACGCTAACATTTATAATGTTCTTTTATTCGTTTTTGAAAATACTTTTCTCCTCTCTGCAGGGTTGCCCTATCGCTGCGTTTTTCACCTCATTAGTATTTCTTCATGGAGGCTGAATTTTCCGACAGTGGGACAAAAAAGCTTTCCCTTCCATTTTTGCATTTAAATCTCCTAGCATTTTAATGTCATGGCCAGGTCATATGTTGTTGCTAGGCACTCGTAGAATATGTCTTTGGTCTGTTCACCTTTGTCTTCGGCCGACGGGCATAATAACTCCTCACTGGAACATCGGAATACGGAAATTCCAAGGATGTTGGAAAGAGTACATGTCTGGCGCTTGCATGAACTAGAATTATTGACTTCACACAAAAATTAACAAAAAGGCGGACCTTTACTTTTTTTTTTTTTTTTGAAATTCGCCAATTTTTGACAACAAACTAAGTTAAAAAAATAAGGAAGTTCTTCACCGATTGGCTTTATCCTAGTTTATACGAGAGCTATACACTCCCAGAGAAACGTGTCAAAATTTGGAACCGATTGGATTGAGTTACCGTGCCTGCCATTCGCAAAGCACTGATTCGAGAAAAATGCGTTTTAAGTTTGAGAATCACTATTGCCGTCACTTGATGCTGACACAATAAATCGGTTGTTGAGATTTCACATGTAGGGACATTATAAAACCAGTAAGGAAAGTAGTAAAGTCGGACTGGGCCGACTATGTGATACCCTTCACCACTTTGGGTATATTCAGCACATGTATCCTAAAGTCGAAATTACATATGGAAGCTATGCTATATCTATATCTAAACCGATTAGAGATTAATTTATATTAACTTCAGTACGTTGTTTTTTTTTGCGGGCATCTTTCGTTAGAACTGGTTGGGTCTGTATGCTTGTAGAAATTCGAGGTACCGTTATACGGGGGGCTATACCAAAACGTGGACCGATATATCACATTTGCAATACCAAACATTTAACGAATACTAGCAATGTCTGTGCAAAATTTCATAGCTCTATCTTAAATATTGTGTATACTTTGTAGGGTCTCCGATGAATATTGCAAATCGTATGACAAATTTAATATACACCCCACGTTATGGTGGTGGGAATAAAAATGCGTTTAGAACCTTCAAAACATGCACCTATATTCAAATGATATGCAATCATGTTTTCAGCCTCCAAGAGACAGATATACCAAAATACAACCACTTCGAACCGCTAGAATTTTATTATTATATTGATGAGGTACTTTTTGTTTTCACCATACCATAAAATTTACTACACATTCAAATTTTAGACGGTGCGTATAAAAACTTTCTCCCCTACACTGACATACATACGTACACATACAGATGCAATATATTTGCCATATGTCATTAACATTTATTTAGTCCATTGTTTAACTAAACAATATTTATGAACAAGCAATGAATCATTTTTCGTCATAGTTTAATAAATTATTGGCAGGTTTATTGTGATATCAAAACAATAAAACATCTTAACAAGGACATCAAATATAATCTACACCATTGAACTTTTGACCTGAAAATCTTATTTATTTTTGTATAATATTATAAATAATATTTATGAGATAAATGAAAAGAAAATTTTGGATGCAAATAGATGTAGATGTGTGTGTGAATTTATAAATATGTTTTAAATTGATGTTAAATTATATAAAATGATGACACTTATATTATATTTATTAAGAATAAGAGAAAAAATCCAATATGTGTTATTAGGGTTATTTAAAAGCCGAACAGTTTAAATAATCGCCATAGGAATCGATAACCAATCGTATTTTAAATGTTAAGTGTACTTTTCATGCACTCCACAATATGGGCGGACAAACCAGCTTGATATATTCAAGTTAGACCTTCTGCTTAATGAATATGGATTGGGACCTTGATACACCCAAATCATGGACTTTTATTGGAAAACCTGGAATATACTGCAAATGGAAGGTATCTATCTTAAAAACTGCTATCTCTATCGTAATTTCAACAGACATCGACATAGATTTTTATTCTGATCAAGAAACGGAATTTAATATTCACACAACCTTTGCCTATTCCATTTAAGTGGAATTCCCAGTTCTTGAAGCGCGAATTTGTATACCCTTCATCACACTGTGGTACAGGTCCGTACGTCTGTCTGTCCATGTTAAATTGTAAACAAAGTACAGGTCGCATTTTTGATTCGAATTGGATGAAACTTGGCACAGCTCATTTGTTTGGCCCAAGGACGAACCCTATTGAAATTGGGAAAAATCGGTTCAGGTAAATGGCGCACCAAAGTCCCTGAATATTCTTCGATTTGCACGAAATTTGGCACTGCTTACTGAATCAGATTTAGATATAGGTCCCATATATATTTTCATCCGATTTTTATGTAAATGGTGCACCAAAGTCCCTAAATATGCTTCGATTTGCACGAAATTT